AAAGAAAGAAAGAAAGAAAGAAAGAAAGAAAGAAAGAAAGAAAGAAAAAGAGAAGCACAGGATTCATCACAACTGCCCTGGCCAAGTGCAAAACGCTGGCTGCCTCCAGCCTCCAAGCCCAAAGACAACCAGTCAGGGAGGAGGCGGAAGGCTTGCCTAGCATCAAGCAAGTGACAACAAGGCCTGGGGTCCTGCTCCCCTCTGCCAGCAACCAGAGGCAGCACACGCGGGGGCTTCCAGATGGAGCTCTCCCTGTCCTGAGGACATCAAGCCCCCCCACCCCCAACCCCACTATGGCTGCTGGTCCTCCACCAGGGCCACTCTGCTTCCAGGGGACATTGGCAAAGTCTGGAGATTTTGCACTGGCCCAGCCCCAGGTGTGCTACTGGCATCTAGTGGGTAGGTGCTGCTAAACCCCCTACAGTGTGTCAGGTGGCCCCACAGCAAAGAATGATCCAGGCCCGAATGTCGGTAGGGCTGAGCTGGACAATCTCTGCTCTAAAGCAACATTTTTTTTTTTTTTTTTTTTGCACGAAAGCCAGTTCAAGTACAAAATAATAATAATAATAACAACAATAATAAAGTTTTAACAGTCTCCATTTTTATCTTCATGCAAGATGAGAATTTGTCTGTTATGAGGCGAAAGCATAACTAAGGTCGCCTGTTTTTATGGATTAAAACCTTATCAAGGAGCAAATCGGCACTGCTTTTTAGTCACCAAATGTGACTAAACGTGAAAGTCAGCGAGACAGACACAGGTTCTAACCCTTCTCCCTGAAATTATACCTGGACCGTGAGTGACCTCCTCACTCCCCGCAGCCCTCCCAGGGTAACCCCCCTCTCCTCCTCCCTCGCCACACTCACTTCCCCTTCCCGAACCAGTTGCCAACGCAGGTCACCACAGAGGGCCAGCCTGTGGTCTGGACAAGCCCATTACAGATCTGCAGGGAGACCAGAAGTTAGTGGGACAGGCCTGGGCCGGGCAGCAAACTCCCAGCTCTGACCCCTCCCAGGCCGAGGGGCCTCCACGGCCCACCCTGCAAGTGCCCTCTTCCCTCACACACACCCTAATGCCACAGGTTGGTTTCTCCTCTGGCCCAAGATCCTTCCCTGCAGGGACCGAGCCCCTCAGGCATCTCAGGGACCTCAGGGTAGTGCTCAGTGCAGACTTAGGGAGGATCTGTGTGATCCTGAGAAGTGGGAAGTAGGACCCCAAGGCTCAACAGAGGAGCACTGGGCTGTGAAGAAGTTATCCCCAGCCCAAATCTGCCACCACCTGGGGGTGTCTGGGAAGGACTAGCAGCCTCCGCAATCCTTCCCATGATGGAGCAGAGGTCTGAATGCAAGACAGAGGCTCGTACCTGGATGAGCACAAAGTACCAGAGCATGTGGATGTTCCAGAAATATCCTAGGCCAAAGAGCGAGGTGAAGAGGCCACTGAGCAGCATTCCAGCTGAAAGGTAATAACGGAGGGGGAGCCGCTCCCCAAAAATCCCGCTGGAGAAGAGAGAGTAGGATTTGTGGTTAGTCACCATCTGCACTCCTCACCTCTGCCACATACTTCCTCCCCCGCCACACCACTGACACAGCTCTGGCCCAGGTGACCACCAATGACCTCTGTGTTGCCTGCCACACGCCAGGGATGCTCTCCGGCCTCCACTCACTGGACTTCCCTGCCTTAGCTGCCACTGCTGAACATGCTCCTTAAAGTGTCTCCGTGGCCTCCTCCCCTCGCTCCCCTCGGCTCACCACTGGACATTTACTTTCCCTGGGGCACAGTTTCCTGCATCAGTTTTGTGGTTGTAACTACCACCTAGATATAAAATAGCTCCAACCACATATTTTCCATCCTGATCTCTCACCCTGCAGGATCACACCCAGGTGCCTTCTGGACATCTTAACTTGGGTACCCCCGAAACATCTGCAACTCAACACCCTGAACTCTCCCTCCTCCTTCCCCACTCAGTCCCTTGGCCTGAGCCCTCTTCTGAGTGAGTGTGGTGAGTGAGTATCTTCTGAGTGAGCCCCTCTTCTTTGCTTTCTTTTTTTTTTTTTTTTTTATATATGAAATTTATTGTCAAATTGGTTTCCATACAACACCCAGTGCTCATCCCAAATGGTGCCCTCCTCAATACCCATCACCCACCCTCTCCTCCCTCCCACCCCCCATCAACCCTCAGTTTGCTCTCAGTTCTCAACAGTCTCTTATGCTTTGGGTGAGCCCCTCTTCTGAGTGAGTATCTTGAGCCCCTCCAGCCAGAGACCATGGAGCTTCCTGCTTCCTGCCTCCCCTCCCATGCCTCGCAATTCAGCCTCCAAGACCCTACCTCTTAAACAGTTCTCCAGGACATCAGCTCTCTTCAGCTCTATTATTGCTGTTCTAACTCAACTTCTCAAAGCTCATCTGGGCCATTGTCAAATCTGTTCCTAAGTGTGAGTGAGCAGGCCTTCAGTCTCGTCCTCCATCTGTACTATCTTCCATCATGCCCAGAATGATCTGTCTGAAATATCTGGCTATATCCGAACATGACACCCCTGGGGACCACCTTCAATGGCTCTCCTGTGCCCTCATCTGGCACACAATAGCCTGGCTCTTCAGCCCCATCTCCTGCCACTACTTCAAATTTTACTCTGTTATTAAAGCTGTTAGGAGTACACCCCCAGTCAGATCGTGCTGTTTCCCACCTGCCTTTCTTTGCCCATGCTAGTCCTTCTGCCCAGCTACTTCTCCACTGCTCTTCCTCAGTATCATCTCCTTCCAGAAGTCTTCCCTAACCCCTCTTCTCTAATCCCAGCTGGCATGAGGTGACTACCCCTGAGCCCCAGAGCGGCCTGTAGCCACCTCCCTCAGAGAGCCACCATACTGGTTTGTAACCAGCTGCTGATGAGTTGGGCACCTCCATTAGGCTGTGAGCCTTTGGAAAGCAGAACCCTACCTTTTCATCTTTGGTCCCTGGCAACAAACACCAGGATTGCTATGTAAAAGCCATGCTCGTTGGGCTAATTTAGGCCCAGGACAGGAGAGTGGTATTCCTTGCCATTTCTGTGTGCAGGGCTACCTTTGAAGGATCCCAGTTCAGGACAAGCCGTATTTGTCCAGCCACACCGCCACCACTGTCATCTGAGAGAATAACCTCAGAAGGAGCATCCAGGGAAGACTTTCCAGGAAAAGAAGAGTCTGTCTGCCAGGTGACGGAGGAGGCTGGGTGACCATGGTAAGGAAATGAGGATGGCCAGGGGTTGGTGGTATGTGCCCAAGTCTTGGTCTCATTTCCACCTGGGGCGGGGCATTGGCTTTTTCTCTTCAACCCTGCTGCCCGCAGGTTCGTCAAGGGGAGGCAGCAGCTCTGATCCCCCCTGACTCGGGGACAGTCACAGGCTCTGCCAGTCTCTTACCTGATAAACATGCCGATGGCATAGGCCACAAGGAAGGCATTGTCCACGGCCCCCAGTAACTCCTTGTAGTTGTTCTTGTCTGAAAACAGATGGCAGAGACAGAAAGCTGGTGCCTGGCTGCCCCTGCAAGAAGTCCTTACCGGCACTGGACAAACTCTTCCTGGGGAGGGGAGCTGGGGAGTGGGGAAGAGCAACTTGCCCTGTTCGTACCAAAGGGAGCCCAGTCGCACCACGTAGTGTCGTTGAGACTGTCGCTGTCATTAATGGGCTTGATCAGCTCCGAGCAGTTCTGGTGCAGACGGCTCTGAAAAGGCAATAGGACGTGTGGGTCAGGGGTCATCAGCAAGCAATCTGCCTCCCCAACCACACCAGCACCACTGCCTCCCCACTGGGCTCCATGCTCCTTCGGCTGACATGACATCCTGCCTACTGTGACTGGTTATAGGGCAAGTGGCCACATCAGGCCCTCAGTGAAGGGGAAGAGGAGTCTATGACCAGAGCCCATAGAGCCCAGGGTCCCTGCCCTCTCATTCCACCCACAGCCAGCAACACTGCTGTCAAAAGGAACACACAGGGAAAGTTCCATAGGAAGAACAACTACTGAGAATGGGGCTTGGCCATGGGAAGGGGTCGTCTCCTGACTATGGTTGAGGGAATAAGGATGGTTATGGGCCCAGTTCCAGACCATTCTACCAGAGTTTATTTCAGCTGAGGCCCAGCATCTCCTGCATTCTACCTTACCACCAGGCCAGCCTCACCTTGACAACACTGATGGGCTTCCTGGACATGTGATAACAGGTATAAATGAAGAAGGTGAGTAGCAGGATGAAGCCTCGGAACCTGCAGGAAAAGGCAGGCATCTGGGTCAGCAGGAAGTTGGCCTCAGCCAGAAGCTCAGACACGGTATCCCCACGGGACTTGCTCTGGCAACCCCAGGGCCTCAGCACCACCAACTCTCTACCTTCAGTCTCCCCTCCAGACAGTTCCTTGGACAGAGGCCAAGGGGAGGGTAGGAACAGATGCCCGGGGTCCAGGGCACTCAGGGAGCCCTATCTCTCTGGTCCCACCTCCTGCGGCCCTTCAGCAGAGCTGGCTCAGTACCAGCACCCTAGACAACACAAGTTACGCCTGCCCCTCCCCCCACCCCCGACTCTTGTCACCCCCCCACACCTCTATTATCCTTTAACCTCGCCAAGGTCAGGACGCCTCTGTGTCTGCCTGTATGAGACATGGTGGCAGCGAAGTAGAATTGTTTTTAAGAAGAATACCAGAAATGGTGGGAGCAGGTGGGAGGCTGACACTGGAGAAGGTCTGTCTCTAAAATGAGCTCAACTCCTCTCAAGCCTTGAACACAGCAGAGACAGCACCTGCTGCAGTCCAGTTAGGGCAGTAGCCAAAAGTGGGAAATCTGGTGACACAATCCACATCCTCTTCCCAGGCCAGATCTGGTCTATCCCACTGGACAGAAGGATCATTCTTTCCATCTGTGGCTCACACATCACATGTACCCTCTCCTACCCCCACTTCTCATCCCAAGGACCGGTCTGGAATGGAAAGAACGGTTCATCCAGGCACCACTGAAGTTTCCACCACACGCCCGGCCACTGCCCTTCTCCTGGGAGCCTGGGAAAAGGGCCTCCACGTCCTCCTGAGTCAGCGTCTGCGCCCCTAGCAGAGCATCAGCTGAGCTGAGTCAGCCACCAGGAGGCAGGAAGTACTTGGAAAATAGACCTCAAAACGGACCCCCAACCCAGGAGAAAAGGCTAGACATTAGGAAAGAGCCAGAGCCTTGGTTTATTCACGATCTCATGGAGGAGGGTGGGGAAGGGTGGGAGGGGCCCTGAAGCCCTTTCCATCCCTCGGTTCCATGAATCTGAAGGGCAGGACACCGGAGGCTTACTCTGACGTCTTTCGAGATCTGCCTCCAAACCCCAAACTCACTTCCCCCAGACATGTCATGAAGGCTACCGCTTGTGAAACACAAGGGAATTTCAGAAGAGCCTGAATTTAGGTTGGGCTTCCAGGACCCTTCTTACCTCACCCTGGACTTGAGCTGCCTACCTGGGTTCTCTGACTCCGTTCTCTCCACTACCTCACAGTGTATCTTCTGAAGAGAATGTAGTTACACACCCTCCGTCACCTGGCTACACATTTTTTTCAGTGGCTCTCCATTCTGCTAAGAGTGAAGTTCCAACTATTTAGCCTGGATTTTATGCTTCTCTACAAACAGGTCCCTCTGGCTACCAGTTTCCAAGGTAGCCACAGAGGTCCTTCAGGGACTTGAACCTCAGGGAATGTGGGGTTACTCCAAGTGACTGTTACAGTGACTGACATCGGAAGGCTTAGTGGCCTTCCAGGTCCCACCAATCGGCATATGCTTCATAATTCCTATGAGGGACTTGTTAATAATTCCAAGTTCAGGGACTTGTAAAATCTGGGGGAAATTCTCTGAGAAGGTGGCCCTTCTTCAAAGTAATGGATGAAAGAAAACTATACCCTGCAGATAACCGGTCTAGTGCCCTGGCTGGGAAGCTACTTGGTTCAGGAAAAAAGCTAAAAGCTTTGAGTGATGCTTCTAATGTATTGTGTAACCAAATGCAAGTTCCTAAATCTTTTCTCCCTCTGGTTTCCTCATCAGCTGCACATGGATGATAGCACCGACCACATCTATCTCAAAGACAGGTGAACACAACATTACTCTCACCCTAGCCCCTAGGTCCCTGTTGTACCATCTTTAAGATCCCTACCCCCGTCTGCAGGGCTCAGCTGAGCCTATCCTGGCTGCTACATGGATACAGCCACTGACCATGGAGACAAATCAGATTTCCTCTGGGTCTGAGAGATCCTTGTAGCCCCACTGAGGCTCCCGACTCTGTTCTCTCATGATAGGCCCAGCAGTGAGGAAGGCCTTTGCCAGCTAGAGAGCCTGGTGTTGCCTGGGAAGCCCTCTCAGGAGCTGGTGAGAGCCAACGAGGGGCCTAAAGGTCTAGCATGGTTTCCAGCCACACTGCTCTTCTCACATGCACTGCCCACCATCACTCTGCTTCAACTCCAAGCTTGTGACGTGATGGAGCAGAGACTCTGGCCTTCAGTGGCCTGCTCATGTGCTCCCTTGGGAGCGGATCCAGAGGATCCGCAGGGGCCCACACTGGTATCCTCATCTGTGAGATTCCAGCCTGCCCCCCTCCAGCAGCCTGGCCTGCCCCTTCTCCCAGCTCTGACCCCAACCTCCAGTAGAAAACCTGATACCCAAGAGAGCAGAAGGGCATGATTCTGGGGGTAGGGGGGACAGGAGGGTCAAACGTGTTGTGATGCCAGGCCCGGCATGGATACCCTTTGGAACTTCCTTCCTGGACTCCAAAGAGGCAGTGGGATGAGCTCAGAATCCCATGGCTACCCGGGCAGAGCACCTGTTCACCCAATCCATCTTCACTCCACAGTCTTCCTTCCATTCCATTCTGCTTTAGCAGCTATTCTGAGGAAAAGGCCAAGGTGCCACGGTTCAAAGGGGACTAGGGTCATCAATCAGGTGAAGGGCTGAGCTAGGCTGAGGCAAAGGCTGCCAAACTCATAGTCTCTCATAGGAAAGATAGCGATGGTCACTTGGGCGTGAAGAAGAAGTTTCACTTCTCTTCTCTTGAACCGTTTCTTCAGAATCAAGAGGCCCCAGGAAGGGAGCGGGGAAATATACACAGCTGGCCTGGGGAGGTGGGGGTTGCTGTGAGGGGACGGATGGCAGCCCGGGTGGCAGGCCAGGCTGGGCAAACATGCTAGGTACGAAGGAACGTGCACGGTGAGGCCCCCATACTGTTCCAGGTGAGGCCGGCTGTCCCACCATCCTCTAAATCCTTGTTAGCAAAAAGTGGCACTTTGCAGAGTCCCACCTCCCAACACTGGACACTCAGTGACTGGGCTAGGTGGAGAGGCTAACGAGCTATCTCTTAACTGCTAGCTGACAGTCCAAATACCGACCTCATCAAGACTTTGCACTAGGACTTCTTCTGAGGTAAGGACAAGGAACAATGTGTCCCAAAGCAGCAAGGGGTTAAAAACAAACAAAAACCTCAAAGGACCTATTATCACCACCAGCACAACAACAAAAAACTCCAAGAAACAGCACAGCAGTGGGATATTGGCCTTGGGAGACGGTGGAAAGGAGCCCCCTTTCCCCAGTAGCTACCCAGTCAACACCCCACCCCCACCCGCATACCTGCATCCTGACTCCTTGCTTTGCGACCACATCGCTACCCCCCTGTAAGGCCAGTCCCTCATCAACCACTCCCTACCTCCCCCTGCCTCAGCCAGCGGTTGCTAGTAAGGGTCTGCTCAGGTAGCCATGTGACAGGCTGGGCTGGCTGTGGCTGCAGGTAAGCTTGGCACTTGCCCTGAGGAAAGGGACTCGGTGGCCTGTCCTTGGAAGTGCCCTGTTCTGGGACTCAGCAAATCTGCAAAGGATAGAGGCTGGGAACAGTAAGAACAGGCTGATGGCGAGAGTGCCACCACCCACCCCCTGCCAAATTCCCCACTGCCACTGGGAGACACCCTGGTAGGGGGAGGCCAGCCTGGAACAGACAGCATGGGGCAGAGCCCTGAGCCAGGCCTCCCAGCACACAGGATGGGACAGGAACAGGCCACATCTGGGAGGGCCCGTCAGGACTGAGGGCACAAACCCCTCTTGGGGGCAGAAAGTCAACCCAAGGAATCCTCTACTTGTTCCCCTTCCCCCAGCTGGGTCTCAGGAGCTTGCTCGGAGAGATCAATTTGACTCAGGGCTTGGTCCCAAGATCCTTTCCAGCCATTGGCAGGTAGCCACAAGAAGCCACAGGAGTTTATAGGATAAATGAATAGATAAGATAATGATCACTTTAAGGAAAGAAGAAAGCTTTGAGAAGGAAGCTCTGTAAGGGAACCCCCGAGTGCTCAAACAGAATGAAAAGACAAGGCTTTAAGCTACAGCTACAGCATGATGTTTTATTTGGGCAAGTGGAAAACGTGGAAGAGTGTGAGGGTTGGAAGGGTTTGGAAGAGGTGGTCAACGCTATGCAGACAGCACAGATGGAAATGTGCTGATGGTGGAGGAGTTGAGGTCCTGCCCAGCGATCTTCCTCTCAAGATTCTCTACGGGCCTAGCCCCACGCCTCACCCTCATCCACCACTCTCCTGAGCATGAAGGATCCAGGGTAGGGGGCATGAGCCGGAGGCCAAAAGGAGAACAGCAGTACTGCCCCTCCCCCACCACGACCCAAGGACCAACTCAGGCACAGCCAGATGGGGGAGTGGTGGGCTTCGGGGACTCTACCCCTGGTGTCCGTCCTCAATTCTGTTATTACTTGGGGACAGCTCCACTCTGATCTCAGCATTCGGTTGGTACAGTTTGAAGAAGAAATAAGGCCTTGACAGACCATTCCAGACCAGTTCCCGGGCTCTAGGTCAGACAGCCCCGCCCAAAGCCAGGGAGGTACCAATCTGCTCAGTAAGAAGGGAAAGAGGAAACAGCAGGGAGGAAGAGGAAGTAGAAGGCAGCAATCACGAGTGGTGGTGGGGAGGGAGGGCGACCACCACAGGGTCATGTGCTCTCAACCAGCTCTGACCCTGAGGGGCCCAAGGGGATGGGGCGGGAATAATAATTTTCCCTCCGGTTTCTCCTCCTGGATCTCCCATTCCTTTCCAGAGCAGCGCCTTGGCACCACAGCTCATTTTAAGGAGCCTTTCTGCTGCCCTTCCCAAGCACTTCTTTGCAGTTACCAGGAAAATCAGACAAGACAGCTGCTTCGCAGCACCTGGGGCCCCTGATCTGAGGCCACGACGGAATAG